CACATTATTGTCACCTGTACCACTGGTTTTCATTTCACACACGAAACCCGGACCACACCGGCTAAGGCTATCCCGCACGTAACGCAAGGCCGTTACATATATATACATATGAATATGTAATTGTTAAATGAGCGCTGTATGCTTGTAAGTTAGTCGTGTACGCAAAATCTGTACTCGAGTCGTTGTCACCACTGTCTAGTGACTTTGGGGAGTTACTAGATGAGGGCACGTTTCCAGTTATGTCATGTGTTGTAAGTGGCGGATTGCGGCGCCTCCGCATCGAACCGCGGAGGGCGCGAGGATCTAAGAGTAGTCGACTCTAGATCGCCAAAGGGTGAAGTCGCACTCCGCGCCGAAACGCGAAAATCGGAATAAATACGACAACGTTGACGACGACCGCACAACAATAAAACAAGGATATTGAACGCTCAAAGTGGTGATTATCTTCTGTTCTCCCGGTTCCCGTCCGCCCGCAGGACCCAGCAAGAAACTCGTGAGGCGTCTTTTCCACGAATAGGACGGGTGGCGACCGTATTCTCTTCTCTAATCCGGCCGACCGTGCACGGACAAGCCTGCAATCTTCACAAAGGTAATTGGTCCGGCTACAACCTAACCTAACCAACCCAACCCAAACCAAACCTTACTGGGATGAGGCCGGGGTTATGCCGGACTCACACCGGCTAAAACCTCCTCGAGTGTCCTACCTAAGCCGTAACCCAGGGACATCCCGAGAACCGCTGACGCATGTCATTCAGGATGCCCCCGGCACACGCAAATAAAGCGCAATACCTCATTAATTAGCGGCAGGGAGCCACACCACTTCTCCCCGCCGCCCTAATCCAGATATCGAATATCGCTTCAGAGTTGGGTTTCCCAGCCCATAAAGAACACTCTTCCACGACGGCCGACTAGTCAAGGGGGAGCGTAAAGCCCTCCTACTAGCAACAGGCACATTGCCAACAGGTAGGCAACGTACCATGTGTGCCGCAGAATGGCAACAACAACACACGTAACATACATGTGTGTCGCGCTCAGTGCAACTCCATAACCCAAATATTTGGGCAACTCTCTCTCCTAGAAGAAAACGATTCAGTAAGGAGGGGAGTCATCCCTACGTGGAGATGCAGGAGGTATCTCGCTAACCCGAGGGTTGCTCTGTCTCTCCCTCTCTGCAGCTTCCTTCCTGCTCATAACTGCACTCGCGTATCCCAAGGCAGCAGTCCATCCCTCATCCGATGATAACATGGTACGCACTAAGGCAGGAAGGGATAAGTCCTGCCCAACCACCGTCTTAAGATCCAATCTCTCTTGGGACCACGCACTACATTCTTTCAATGTATGTTGAGCACTGTCTGTTCCGATGTTACAGTGCGCATACACGTTCGTTTCGTCCCTACCGATACGGTGCAGGTAATCGCGAAAGCAGCCGCGACCTGTGAGAATTTGGGTCATAAGGAAGTTCACACCCCTCTTTCTTCGCCGATCAGTCCACGACCAAAAATTAGGGACAATAGCTTCCCTAGTTCGTGCGCCAGATAACCCTCTCTGTCGGAGGTGAGTCTCCCACTGCCGAAAGAGAAGAAGTCTTTCTCCTTCCTTGATTTCATCCTCCTCTTCTTGTGTCCACATACCGAGCGATTTAAGCTCCCTAACTCTCGCGTATGTCCTATTATAATAGGCCGCAAGCAGGTAGAACGGGGGCATTCGTGCCAATAAGGTTGCGGCCTCAAGAGACACCGATCTGTACGCGGCTATAACTCTAATGGCCACGAACCGCTGTACCCTAAAAATAGGCGCCTGACCTCTACGAGCCAACGAGGTGGTCGATCTCATGGCATCATACCATACCGGCGCCCCGTAGAGCATGACCGACAAAACCACTGTCGCGTACAGTCTTCTCTTTCCCTCGCTAGGTCCCCGAAGATTGGGCATGAGCCGTCCCAAAACTTTAGCCACCCTCGTCGCTTTAT